ATGGTCCAGGTGTAGTTCCTATGGTCCAGGTGTAGTTCCTATGGTCCAGGTGTAGTTCCTATGGTCCAGGTGTAGTTCCTATGGTCCAGGTGTAGTTCCTATGGTTCAGGTGTAGTTCCTATGGTTCAGGTCTAGTTTCTGTAGGGAGAAGAACAAAGGACTACATGTAAACAATATAAATATCTACAAATAACGTGGACGTTGCAGCGAGTAAAGACTTGCAGAGTGAGGACATGTGGTCAGTCTAAATCTATAGCAGATGAACTAAAGGATCGATTCGGCCTTTTTCCTCCCCTGCAGCGTTCCCGGCGTGTTTCCAGAATCCCCTCGCTGGCTCCTCCTGTCGGAGCGGTCGGCAGACACGAGCGCTTTCAGCGAGAGAAGAAACTCCAGCAGAGACGCGAGGGACGACGAGAGCTTCACAGGTTTGTCCACAGAGAAGAAACTTTCTTTTCCTCAAATCAAGCGCTAAAGTCATCGTCATCATCATCGTCAGTGTAATGATTTATGATGGACCCGGAATTAAAACCAGTTCTGTTTGGACCTCTACAGATCAGACACCAAAGTAGAAACATCATCTAAAGTTTCTATAGTTCACAGTTGGACTTGTTGTGGCTGAATCAGTTTGATGGATTTTACACATTAGTTTAGGTTGTTTTTTGTCTAAGCTGATCCCATTTCCACAATCTTTGCACGTTTTTACAGTTTAAACACCCAACATGTTTTTATCCTCTTTCACCTGGTGGAAGGTTTGTCACATGCAGAGTGCACACACCAGAACTCCCATTAACTCACACCATCTGAGCTCAGAATGTAAAACGTTCTACAGAAAACACCGCAGACGCACAACACCTGACGGGCGAGGCCTCCAGACCCTCCGGCCTCTTATTTTACAGTTCAGCTTTAAGTTTATGTATTTTAAATTGTTTAGTTTGAGGCTTACTTTCTACTCTGCGGTTCTCTCTGCCTTACTTTTGATTAAAGGGTGCAGTCGGAGAGTGGGAGACACAGATGTACGGTTACCATGGCGATCTAAAAATAAAGGCGTTTCTTTTTATCCTTAAATCTTTTGTTGGTTAAAACGACACTAGATACGTAAATATAAACTATAGAAATTGTATTTCCTGCAAAAATGCAGAGTAAATGCTTGTTGCAGAAGAACTTGCTGATAAACAGCTGAAATTAGCTAAAACATGCTGAAATGGAAGAACAAGCCTAAATTAGCAGAAGTAAGTAGAAAGGACATGTTTACCGAATTACTGGTAGGTTTAAATAAGCAGACGTGAGCACAAAAGTTAAGAAACTGTGTAGCTAAAAAAGCTGAAATTAGCAATAAAATGGCTGAAAAGTAGCTGAAAAGATAGAAAGAAGCTTAAACTACCAATAGGAAGCGGAAAGAACTAAATTGAGCTAGAAAAATGTGGAATTAGCTGAAAAAGCTCAAATTGGCATCAAGAGCTGAAGTAGCTGAAACAGCAGAAAAAGCTGAAATGAGCATAACGAGTAGAAATTAGCATAAATAAGTTAATTAGGCTGAAAGTAGCAGACATTAAAACAAAAAAACCTTTAATTTATCTAAAAACAGCTGAAATTAGTAAATAAATAAAAAAAAAGCTATCTGATAAAGGTAGAACAAGCTTAAATTAGCAGAAGAAAGCAGAACACACGTTTGCCCAATTAGGCTGAAAGAAGCAGGAATGAGCAGACAAAAGTGAAAATTATCTGGAAAAAAAGCTGAAATTAGCACAATAAACCCCCCTGAAAAGTAGCTAAAAAGTAAAAAGAAGCTTAAATTACCAGGAGGTGGAGAGAGCACCTTTTTGCTGAAGTAGACTGAAAAAAGTTGATATGAGTGCAAAAAATGTGGAATTATCTGAAAGCTAAAATTAGCATCAAACAGCTAAATAGTAGCTGAAATAGCAGAAAAAGCTAACTTGCATAAATAAGCTGAAGGTTTCATAATGAGCGCAAAATCATAGTTAGCAGAAATAATCTAAAAGGAGCACAAAACAGCTGGAAAAAAAACGCTGAATGTAGCTGAATATAGCTGAAAAAAATGCACTAGGAAGCTGAAAGAAGCTGAAACAGAACAAAATATGAAAGGAGCAGTAAAAGGTTGTAAACGGATCTGAAGGATGTAAAATGAGCTAAATTCATTTTCTATGAGGAAAAATGGCAGAAAAGGCTAAATATTTCAAAAGGCTAAAGTTGCATCAATACCTAAAGTCGTAGCAGGATTGTTCTGAACGAGCTGAACGTTTTGATTTATGATTTGTTGAAATAACACAAAAACTGTGGAACGAGAAAAATGCTGAAAAAAAAAACGTATGGAAGAAAAATGGATCACAGAGTGAAACGTTCAGACCATTACTACAAAATAAAAGCCATAAAAGTAAAATCTAAAATATCATCAGGGAGTTATAGAAGAAGGACGACTCCTCAGAACTCTTCTAGTTACTTTTTAGGACCACGAGGTCTACGCTTGTCCCGTTTACCCAGAATTTTACTGATTTTATAGTTTTATAAAGTTGTGGGGGAATAGAAACAGCTGCTGCTGCGGAAACGTCGGTTGTTTACATGTAAACACGTTTGTTTGGGCGTGAAGAGTTCCCAGCACAAACAATCCATCTCACGTAAAACGGTCACTTCCCTTTAATCCGACAAACTAAAAGCTGCAGAAAAATGGTTCCAGAAGCTAAAAACGTTTTTCAAGGATTTAAGGAGATTTCCATTCATTTTATAAAAAGGGAACATGAAATAATCGTAAATATTTCAAAAATTATAAAAGCTAGAGTAGCTAAAATCTGTAAATCTGTTTAAAAAAGGTAAAAGTAACTAAACAATAGATTAAAACTAAAACCAGCTAAACAATAGATTAAGTTTTATTTTTTGCTGTTTTGTTAGTTTTAGCTTTAGACAAAAGATTAAAAAGGTAAAATTAGTAAATCAATATCTAAAAGCTAAAACTAGAACAGTACCGGTAGTTAAGAGCTTAATTTATCAGATTAGCTAAAAGCTAAAATTGAAGCTATTTTGCTGAATTAGACATAATAATAAAAAAAAAAAAAACATTTTACTATTTATTTCAAAATTAAAAATTTATTTTTATTTTAAAATGTCAAAAAACTACAAAACTAAAAATACAAATGAGCTAAACAATAGGTAAAAGTTAAATCAGCAGTAGCTAAAACAAAGCTAAAACAAGCTAATATGCTAATAAATTTTAAAGAGCCCAAAGTTATTTTTTTAACGAATATAAACATTACAAAGGCTAAAATTAGTAAATCATGTAAAAGTTAATTTTAGCTAAACAAAAGATGGGATTTAAAATGAGCTAAAAGCTAAAAACAGTAGCTAAAAGATAACAGTTCAGTAACTTGTAGATTTTAAAGAGCACATGTTCTCCATTCATTTCAATGGGGGGGGGGGGCAGTTATTTAGTTAAATCTGTTTAAGACCCGAGAACCCGGTGCCGAGCCACACTACACAGAATGGCCGAGAGGCGACCCAATACATTTCAGCTTTGGTTCGGCTGTTGGCTCGTCAGCCCATAACCAGAACCCCGCTCCGAAAGCTCTGAACTGTCCCTTTAACATGTTTTGTGGTGTTTTCTGGGAGTTTCAGAAGCAGGACCGCTCTCCTCTGCGCTGATAGTCTTGTTTGTTTCCCGCAGAGCTGGATTCAGAGCCGGCGCCCTCCTCGCGCCCCCACCTGTCCTTCCTGGAGCTCTTCCACAGCAGGAACATCTGGAAGAACCTGTGTGTGCTCGGCTTCACCTCGTGAGTCCTCCTGACCCGGTCGGTGCCGCTGCAGCCTCACGGCTCCTCACCGTTACTCAGACCCCCCCCCCCCTCCACTCTCCCTGCAGGTTCATCTCTCACGGCATCAGCCACTGTTACAGCTCCTTCCGGGGCGACGTCCGAGGCTCCGCCCCCAGCTTCTACTGGACGTACCTGCTGTCTGTGTGCGCGGGGGGCGGAGCCTGGCTGCTGCTCTGGGCCACCGTGAACAGGTGCGGCCGCCGCGGCATCCTGCTGCTGTCCATGACGATGACGGGCCTGGCGTCGTTGATCCTCCTGGGCCTCATGGAGTGTAAGTGGGGGGGTTTGTGGGCCGTGCCTCCGTCAGAGGAGGCTTTTATTGGGATTAAAGTTCCTCAAATCCTGGCTGGAATGAAGCTAAAACATGAAGCAGATTAAAAATAGAATCTCGCAGCTCTGTTTGTGGAAAAGTCCCACCTGAGCTGCCATGGTGCATCCATGGTGACCAGGGTCTCCGTCGCCCCCTAGTGGCCAACAACCAGCACGACACCCATCTTGAGTCGAACCTGCGGTCCTGATGTTTGCTTCTCTCCTCCCTGTTAGATCTGAGCGAGGCGGCCATCACCGTTTTCTCCGTGCTCGGGCTCTTCTCCTCCCAGGCCACGGCGTCGCTCTGCATCCTTTTCACCGCAGAGATCATGCCCACCATCATCAGGTAAGACAAAGACGCTTGTAAGAACAGACGTGTATGTTACAGCAGCTGGAGCATCTTAAAAAACCGCGTCGTTAAATATAAAAATATAAACTGTATTTGTCTGTTAATAGAAGCAAGTTATGATTTTCATGAACTATATTGTAAATAAAATCCAATAAAACGTAATATTCTATTATCAGGGCCACCAAAACATGATGTAAAATAATAAAAAGGTTAATTTTCTTAAATGAATTACTACATGAACTACACTGTAAATATGTTTAAAAACAGGAAGGAGTCATAATCTTGGAGCTGGAGCGCAAAAAATACAGAATCATTTTTTTTTTTTTTTTAATTCATAGAAATTAATGACAAGTTGCGTCTTATGCTGTAAATAAAATATTAAAAGTAATTCCAGGAACTTGGGCACAAAACAATCAAAAACAAACAAAAAAAGTTACTTTCTATTAATGACTACAGGTTATTTTATTAATAAACAAAACTATTTATTAACAACTCTTTTTATTTTAATCATAATCATTTTAAAAGGTTGTTTTTCTTGAAATAAACTTTAAAAACAAAGTTTTGGGTAAAAAGTTTGTAAAATATTCACAGATAAAAAAAATTATTTATCAAAAACAGTTGTAAAATGCAGTCATTTATATTTATTAATAATTTACAGGATTTAAGTTTAATTTTATGATTATTTAAATTTTTTTATCATTTTTCACCATTTGATCAAAGTAATAACAAAATTAACATCATATTTAGTAAAAAACAAACAAAATGGGCTTAAAATTACAACAAATCAGTTTAAAATGTGTTTTATTAAACATTTGTGCACATTTTATCAGTTCTTATTGTAATAAAACCATGTATGATATAATTTACTTATTTAAAATTAAATGGATGCTCCTATAAACACAAAAAAAGCATTTTATTTTATTTAAAATCAAAGGTTAAAGTTAATTGTTTTACATTTATGTGGTGAAAACAATAAATAAAAGACATGAAAGTGGCTCAGGTTAGGAAGTGCTACAGCTAGCTGCTGCGCCTGCTAACCATATATGGTGTGCGTGCAGGGGCAGCGGTGTCGGCGCCGTTCTGGCCCTGGGCTGCGTGGGCCGCCTCAGCTCCCCCATCATGGACCTGCGGAACCACTACGGCTACTTCCTGCACCACGTCGTCTACTCCTCGCTGGCCCTGCTGGCCGTGCTCTCCATCCTGCTGCTGCCCGAGAGCAAGAGGAAGCCGCTGCCGCAGACGCTGGCCGACGGCGAGCAGTACCGGCGCCCCCCGCTGGGCCGGAGGAGGAGGGACAACGTGCCGCTGCTGGCCACGCCCAACCCGGAGACCTAGAGGGACGAGCAATATGGAGGGAAACGGGCCGCGAACCTCATTTCATCCGTTTCCCGCCACGTCTTCACACCAGCACGCGCTGCTGCACGCCGTCCTCCATCCTCACGAGGTCCGACGGAGACGCGGAGGCTGCCGAGGCGGGAGCAGGGCTCGAACGTTTAAAACGTCCGTGCGCACTCTCCCAAGATGGGAGTGTTTTTCATTTCCCAGAATGCCGTGCAGCCGGAAATCATGATGAGCGCTTTGATTTATTTGTATGTTTTTGTTTTTAGAGATGATGACGGTGATTTTGTGTGAACTCGTAAGGGATTAAGAAGAAGAAGAAAAAAAAAGCCCACCCTCTTGAAGTTTTAGGTTTTTCACGTCAGGGCAGAAAAAAAAAAAAGGTGAACTGTAGAAAAACTCCCAGCAGATTCCAGGAGCTGCTCCAGAGTAGACAGGGGTGTTAACACAACGCCAAGGTGGAAACACAACAGCAATCATGTCAAAGAAGCAACATTCTTCTGTGTTTTTGGCACCAACTAGTTCTGCAAGTTCTCCCCATAGAAATATCTGAAAATCTCTCAAACATTTTGTTGAGGTTTTAGGAAACTGGTTGTTTCTGTCTTTTTCTACGACTTTTAGCTCTTATCTACCTTCTTGCTAATTTCAGCTTTTACAGCAGGTACACTTTTGCTAATTTTTATGTTTAGCTATGGTTTTAAGGATTTTAGCAACTGTTTTGCTAATTTTGGCTTTGCAAATTTAAGCTTATTGCTACTGTTTTGGTAGGAAAAACTTTTAGCTACAGTTTGTTGCATTTAGCTTTAGGCTACAATTTATTTATATTAGGTTTTTAGCTACAGTTTTGCTACATAAAGCTTTTAGCTACTCTTTACATTCGACTTTAGGCTACAGTTTTGTCTATTTTTGGCTTTTTGCTACAGTTTAGTAAATTTGACCATTTAGCTTTTAGCAACTATTTTGCTAAGTTTTGCTTTCAGCATCAGTTTTACTAATTTTAGCTTTTAGCTACAGTTTTGCTACATTTGCTCACTTAGGTGTTTAGCAACAGTTTAGCGTATTTTGACTCTTTGCTACGATTTTTGATACAGTTTGAATGTACAGTTTCTCATTTAATCCTTTAGCAACTGTTTATGCTACAGCTTGCTACATTTAGCGTTAGGCTACTATTTTAATGCATTTAGCTTCAGGCTACTATTTTTGCTACATTTAGCTTCAGGCTTCTGCTTTGCTACATTTAGCTTCAGGCTTCCGC